CAACATGCCTGAGGGGTAGATTACACTGAGAGACTGACAGGCCCAAGAGCACCCAGTAAGTCTAGTGGACTTCATGGTGGACAATGGATTTTAATGTTATTGACGCCTGTCCATCATCTTGGGTTCCTTTTTTGGTTCTTTCCTTCCCATGTTGAGAAGTGTTAGTCATTCTCTCTCCCCCCGGTTTCTCTTCTCTTTTTCAGTCTAGATATTTCTTCTTTTGGCTTCTACCCCGCTCGAACCCCCAAGGGGTCTCTGAGCGGCTTACAGTTACTCTATTATCCCTAACTATGGCCACAATTGGGGTGGGCACTGCCCTACCGGCACCCTGTAGATGGAGCTATCGTTCTTCTTACTCATGATTCGGCCCCTCGGCCCATTGCTGGCACGGCTCCCTCCGGCTCTTCCTCCTTCTCCTCCTGCGACCCTCGGCGTCGGCTGCGGTCGGAAGATCCATTCGGCGCCTGGTTCACACTGGCGCGGCTTTGGCTCTGTCCGTCAAGGCTCCGCCCACACCTGTGCCTCACGCTCTCCCTGCGTTTCCTGGCTCTGCCCTCCGCTGACATCTGGATTGCTGCCGATGTTGCGCCCGGTTGCCATCTTGCCGCTTGCCGCCGATGCCGTCGTTGTTCTCCGTCTCGCCTCGCCGCCAACGCTCCACCAGCCCCCCTTGAAGGGGAAGGGTGCTCCCTGCCATCTAAGGCAGGTACCCAATTTATCTACTCGCGTCTTGATGATATTATTGCCGATATATAGATATATGTTGTTGTTTTTTGGAACCCTTTAAGGAACATGATGCTGTACCTGAAATTCATGTTAGTTGGCCTGAACTCTTGTGAGCAGACTGGATATACACTTGAATAAACAAATACACAATTTTTTCACATCCGTCTTTCGACAAGCTTACAGAGCAGCGTACCTGTTCCTCCATTTTATCCTCATGCAACAATCCTGTGAAGTAAGTTATACTGAGAAATATGGAGTGGCTTAAGAATACTTAGTGAACTTTGTGACCAAGGATTTGAACCCAGGACTTTGCAACCGAGACGTAACCCAACATTTTAACCTCTGTATACAATTCGCCATGATTAGTGGCTTGTAAACCACCAACCAGCACTGATTATATTAAATATTAGTCTTCTGAACTCTCATAACCATGGAAAAACTCCAGGAATGGTACAAAATAAACACTGAGGGAGAAGTTGTACAAGTGTAACAAGTGAATGCCCTTGGAAACTCCAGAAGATGATTGAAGTAAAACTTGCAGATTAATTTGTTGTGAAAGGTAACCAAAATGTTCAGATGATCAGCCATTTTGATCAATATCAGGGTGATTGACTTTGGGCTCATATGAAGGCCTGAATGCCCACCATTCTTTTTGATTTGTTAGAGAGCAAGATACTTTTATTGCCTGAGATGCATGTGGTAAATACATAGTGTCCTGATATAGCTATTAGGGGAAAATATTTTTAGGCTGCTTTTCAGCCTTAAAAGAACAAGATTAACGGTCACAGAGTTGTGGATGTCCTTTTCAAAACCTGAACTGAAGCTTAAACTAACATCATTTTTATTGAAGGACAGGGAGAACCAGGGATATACAACTCGGAGTTTTGAAGAAAACTCAATATATTTAATAGTGCCAAATCCACTGAGGTATATCCTCTCTACAAGCTCCGTGAAGCGGCTTTCCTCACAGCAGTAGAAGACACTGCAGAACAAAAGGCCCATGGCAGAATATGGCCACTTTCCTGCCAACTATCCATTTCACAGCTTCACAGTCTGTCTTCTCTGAAATTCCTTTTTCCATAGAAATCCTCCACTCTCTCAGGAAGGGGGGGAAAAGAAACCCTCAGCCGTCTCTTCAGATGTCCATTTTTCTCCAAGCTCTGAACCCTTTCCAGTTAGAAAAGCTGCCAACATAAACTCACAGTTCTGTTTTGTTGTTGTTGTTCAGTCGCACAGTTGAGTCCGACTCTTCGTGACCCCATGGACCAGCTCCCGCCAGGCCCTCCTGTCTTCCGCTGTCCTCTGAAGTTGGCTCAATTTCATGTCCATTGCATCGATGACACTGTCTAACCACCTCATCCTTTGCCGTCCCCGTCTTCTTTGACCTTCAATCTTTCCCAGGCATCAGGGTCTTCTCCAGTGAGGGCTCCCTTCTCATTTGGTGGCCAAAGTATTTGAGCTTCAGTTTCATTATCTGGCCTTCCAGGGAACAGTCAGGGTTGATTTCTTTTAGTTCCGTACCTTTATATAAAAAATAATTTAGCAGTTTACAAAAACTAAAAACAGAGCAATCACAAGAAGGAATATTAAAAGACAACAAATTATATAACACTGAAACTACTGGATTTTTTTAAAAAACCACCCGTAAAACCCAGAGAGCCTTTAAAACCTTAGTTAAAACTAGATTCGGGTGGGTAGCCGTGTTGGTCTGAAGCAGCAGAACAAAGTTTGAGTCCAGTGGCACTTTTAAGACCCACAAAGTTTTATTCAAGGTATAAGCTTTCATGTGCATGCACACTTCTTTTAGTTAAAACCAGTTAGCATCTAAAAGCGTACATCATTTTAAAGTACGCCAAAAACCTGATGGAAAAGTCTTGACCTAAAAGACAGGAGAGATGACACCATAGGGAAGAAAGTCCATAGTTGGGGGGACAGTAGAGACTACCTTGTTCCTGGTAGCTGATGATAACATAACTTCCAGATAGGCTGAAACCTGAAGCGGGGCATAGAGAGGGAGAAGGTATGGGAGCCTACATTCCCTCAGGTATTATATTAACCATATCAGGTAATACCTTACAAGCTAAAGCGCAATCTGCAGAGTAAATGCCAGTGCTTATTCAAATGAGACAAACTAGAAACCTGCAAAGAATGAACGGGGGGGACTTGTAAGCCCTACTCCACAAACTCGTCTTCTTGAGTCTTATCCGTTCTTACAGGCTTGAGCCCTTTCTCCATGACATGCAGCTTACTTTCAATACTCAGCCTCTTCAAGAAGCATTTTCATGACCTCCCGGGCCTTTTAGAAGATTTTTGTCCTCTGCCTTTTGCTTAATTTACAGAGCCATTTTCTTATGGAGTTCTCTGAACTGATAGAGGCCCTTATGTGTGGGTTAGCGTGTTTTGATGGCTTCCATCTTGTGCACGAGGCCCATTCATTTTAATAATGGTTATACTGATAGTTCACCACATGAAACTGATTCAGTAAAAATCACCTCACTATTTGTCTCAGCACAGGGATCTTCCGCCCTTTTGAACCTGTGGTGGGCACATTTAGAATTCTGAGAAAAGCTAGTGGGTGCCAGAACAAAATGGCTGCCTTGGGCCAAGCGTTGGGAGGATCTGGTTAGGCGGTTCCAAGTCAAGTGGCCTACCACGAGGGAAATAGCTGTTTCCGAATGGGTGGTCTCTGCAGACACACAGGCAATATCTTCAGTGATATTCTGAAGCATTTGTTACTCAAGTGAAGGACAGGCACACTATATTGCGCTTGTCTTTCCCCCCAACCAAGTCTAATAGCAGTGTATGTGTGTATTAATGAGAGAAAGGGTGTTTTTTAAAAATTTATTTTAGGAAAATAGTGCAAGGTGACAGCATGCTGAACATTATTGCCACAAGTCCCATCAAACCCCCCCCCCCCAATAGCTGCTTTTTGAGATTTAAATTAAATGGCAAAGGAATGTGATTATGGCTCCCCATGATCAAGACCGAAGCAATCATGCTTAAGCTTAGACTGTAGTTTCAAGTGGGTAGCCATCAGTGTTCCCTCTAAACTGAGTTGGTGTGAGCTAGCTCACAGTTTTTTAGCCTCTGGCTCATACATTTTTGTCTTAGCCCAGGAAGGGATGGCTCCGGAGCATACTGATTCACGCAGTAGCCAAGTCGCTTGCTCACAACTTTAATGCCAGTAGCTCACAAAGTTGGATTTTGGTTCACAAGACTCTACAGCTTAGAGGGAACATTGGTAGCCATTTTGGTCTGTAGTAGAAGAGCTAGATTTGAGTCCAGTAGCGGTTTACGGACCAAGAGGTTTTCCAGGATGTAAGCTTTCGAGAATCAAAGCCCCCTTCTTCAGGTACAAGAACTGGATGAGACGAGCTTTGACTCTTGAAAGCTGATAGCTTAGAACTCTTTTTAGTCTAGGTTTGCCAACCTCGGGGCGGGGGGGGGGGCTGGAGATCTCCTGGGATTACAACTGATCTCCAGGCAGCAGAGATCAGTTCCCCTGCAGAAAGTGAGTGTTTTGGAAGGTGGACTCTATGGCATAATACCCCATAGAAGTCCCTCCCCAAATCCTGCTTTCCCCAGATTCCACCCTCCCCCCCCCAAATCTCCAGGAATTTCCCAACCCAGAGCTGGCAACCCTAGGGTGCTACTGGACTGGAATCCTGAAGTTTATACCAGTAGAGATCCAGTTTGGTGTAGTGTTTGGGAGCGTGGACTCTAATCTGGGGTTTGATTCCCCACTTTTCTGCATGCAGCTGCTGGTGTGACCTTGGGTCAGTCACAGTTTATCCCAGAGCTGTTCTCTCGAGCAGTCCTCAAAAGAGCTCTCTCAGCCCCACCTATCTCACAGGGTGTCTGTTGTGGGGAGGGGAAGGGAAAGGAGACTGTAAGCCGCCCTGAGACTCCTTCAGGTACTCAATCCAATCCCCTTCTCCTTCTTCTCCAACCTGATCTGGAATAACTCCTCCCCCCCCTCGTTCTAGGATTCTAACATGTAAATATTCAAAAGAATTGGGTTACGTGCCACTTTCTCAGCCAGTCTGTCTAACTAACAGTGGCTTGATCTGCAGGAATTAGCTGACAAAACTTTGTCTCTCATGGAATTAAATGTTTTTCGATGCCAGTTGCTGCAGATGAAGCCATTGTTTTTAAAGGCATACAAAGAACAACTGGGAAGCTGGTCCGTGGAGGCCAGGGTGGATGCCAAACTGCTAGGATAAGTAATCTGGCAGTTGGTTTACTGGCAATTTTTCTTTCTTTCTGTCTTTCAGCTTGCCATGAATCTTGTTCTACCTGCTGGGGCCCCGCTGCAAACAACTGTTTGTCCTGCAAAGACCCATCTCGTGTGTTACTGGAAGGGAACTGTGTTGCTAGATGCAGTCAGGGATTCTACCTCAAGGATGGCATTTGCCGTGGTAAAAGCTTTTGTTCTTTTGTTCTGAGCAGGGCAGTAATCTATACTGGAAACTGAGATTTTTAGCATGAGCAGGGGTCATTTCCTGCAGGAGCGCACAGGAGCAGAGCTCCGGCAGTAAAGAGCCCAGGGGGCGGGCACATCCACCCCCTGCTCCCAGCAGCCCTCAGTCAGAGCAAGAAGCAGCCAGGTAAGCTGCAGAGCCCCCCGCCTCCCAGTCCAAAACAGCCCAGTGGCACCTTTAAGGCCAAGTTTTATTCAGGTACAAGCTCTCCCTCCTCTGCCAAAATTCCCAAAAGATTCACAACACCCCTTGTCAAGTTTTCCCTCATTCCTCAGGGTTAGAACATAAGAACATAAGAGAAGCCAATGTTGGATCAGGCCAATGGCCCATCCAGGCCAACACTCTGTGTCACACAGTGGCCAAAAATACCAGGTGTCATCAGGAGGTCCACCAGTGGGGCCAGGGCACTAGAAGCCCTCCCACTGTGCCCCCCCCCAAGCACCAAGAATACAGAGCATCACTTGCCCCTGATTGAGAGTTCCCATCTGTACCTTGTGGGTAATAGCCACTGATGGACCTCTGCTCCACATGCTTATCTAATTCCCTCTTGAAACCATCCATGCTTGTAGCCGCCACCACCTCCTATGGCAGTGGAGTTAGCCCTCTTTGTGAAACCTGATTTAGGCAGACAAGGAAACATCATATTCTTTGGGTGTCCAGATTTCATAAACCATACACACCCCATAGTATAAATGTTTGGTGCTAAATGCCACTCCTTTTGGGGGGAAAAGTACTTGATTGTTCTAAAAAAAAAACAGACGGTGAAAGATGGGAAGTTATTTTGCTTTCCGAGTGGCAATAAGAGTGAAAACAAAATAGTCTGATAAACCCACTCACATGTGTGTGTGTGTGTGGGGGGGGAAACACCCCAAACACAGATACAAACCTTGTCAACAGTTAATTTCCAGTTGTGTAATACTTCAGCAGCATGGTGATTAAAGGCTGCCGCCGGCATTAAATAAGGGGGGAAAACCCACGGATGGGAGATGCGGGAGGAAAGCAAATGAAGGAACAAACGAGGGGAAAAAATAAAACTGCTGGAGAATTTTTCAGGATGTGTGCAAACCTCGTGGCTGCATTCAAACATCTCACCAAAGCATGATTTCTGAGATTTAATCAAACCCTGCATAGCTGCAGTGTTTGAATTCACAAACCACAGTAACCCTTTTCTGTGTGTTGCCTAGAGAGGTATAATTTTCAGAAATTTTCAGGATGCTAGACTAGATGGACTACTGATCTGATCCAGCAGGGCTCTTCTTATTTTCTTATCGAATTGTTTATATATTTTATATATACTCTGTTTTAAATGTTGTTTTTATGTCTTAGATGTTGAAATGTTGTAAGGTTTTGATGTTTGCCACCTTGGGAGCCCTTTTTGGGTGGAAAAGTGGCACAGAAATGTTGTAAAATAAATAGGATGCATTCATTGGTATGATCCTCTCTCCCCTTCCTTGTATTTCATTGATGGAAATACCGTCTTCTAGCTTGCAATGAAACTTGTGAAACGTGCTACCCGGACCATCCCAGATGTTTAACCTGTGCTTCTGACAGAGTTCTGTATGGTGGAGACTGCATGTTGGAATGCCCCCGTGGTTACTATGTAGATAGTTCTCGGAGATGCAGAGGTAAGTGCGGTTTTAGCATGGTGATTTCTGTTGTAACCTTTCTGGTGACATTTTAGAGATGTTAAACCAGTTCTTGTAAAAAAGAAAAGGGTTTTATTGGGCCTTTTGTAAATTTAAAGAAGATTTTAAGGGCAAGTTTGTCGTTATAGCTGCACAAGATATATAGCTGTTGACTCCAACCTGGGTTCTGGGAAGTAAAAGTGAATCAGGCAATATGCTGGCTGTCCCTGCTGGAGTTTTTGGGAACAGCCAGAGCATTGCCCGACATGCTTATATGACATCTGGGTTTTCAGGTGGATGTGATGTCATGTCTGGTGATGTAATTTCCAGCTCTGGACACTTCTCCTGCTGGTCCGGACAACAAGGGCAGGGACATCATCAGTAACCCTCCCACCAGAAACAGGCGCTTGTCAACCTTAGTTAAAATGCGCTTAATTGGTAAAAACTGGGCTCTCTCCTTTTCCCTGTGAAGGAAGATGCTCATAAGGCCTTCCCTGTTCCATCTGATAGCACCCCCAAGAGGTCAGAAGAAGCTCACGGCCATCTCAAGGTTCCCCAGAGGTGCCAATTACAATGTGGATAACCACTAACAGTCCATCAGTGTCTCTTAGGAGTATCTCCTGCCATAGAGAACCATACACCTAACATTGTACCTGTATTGCCTTTAGAGGCCCTACCTAGTTAGTGTATGCTACCCTACTACAAGTAAGTGTGGGGGCCATCTATGTGAACTTTGCACTTCAGAGCTATTATGCTCCAGGGATGGAGAGCTTCTGTGTTGCCCCTCCCCAGTACCACATTTTGGATAGCAAGACCGGATGGATGTGGCGTTTTGCCAGAGATCAGACTCAAAGAGTTCAAAATATAAGAAAGTTTAATAAATGAATAAAAGAATACACATCTTCTGTCCAAGCTTTTGGATTTAGCAAGGAAACAAAGAAAAGGTGTGGGGGGGAAACCCTATAGACTTCTGTACGTACACTAGGTACTTCCTAAATGATGTTGAATTTTAGGATAGGCAAGCTTTAGTTGAAGTTGCAGTAAGGTCATCATTACCTTAGATCTCTAGGTTGGGATTCCTCTCTATTGTCTCCTGCCTCACAGATAAAATAAGAATATAAGAACAGCCCTGCTGGATCAGATAATTGGTCCATTAGCCTAGCCTACATAACAGAGTTTTTGTGAGGGGTGAGGGAAAAACTGGGGAAGTGAGAACCAAGTATTCCTCTCTTTTTGGAGGAAAGATGGTATAAAATTGTGCTGGACAGGTAGATAATGATGCAATTTGAATGACAAAGTATTCTTTTTCACATACCTTTTTTGTTCCTCTTTCAGCTTGTTACAGTTCATGTGCCAGCTGCACCGGTCCTCTCTCTGCTCAGTGCACTTCTTGTTCTTATCCTCTGGCTCTGCATCAGGGTCAGTGCCTGCCAGATTGCGGAGAGGGCTTCTACCAGGAGCACACTGTTTGCAAAGGTAACCAAGAATTTGCCATTTGCTGCAGCCTGTTAAAGAAACATCTGATGTTGGGTCTTCCTCTTTTCCTACTGCCTTCAACTTTCCTTAGCATTATTGCCTTTTCCAATGAGTCTTGTCTTCTCATAATGAGTCTTGTCTTCTCTACTCATCGGTAATAGTGTGACATTGAGAGTTTTTGGCCAGTTAAGCCAGAATCAATGCTTAAGGTGGGGGAGGAATACTGACATATGGGGAAGGGCCCTTTGTTCACTGGTAGAGTGCCTGCATTGCATACAGAAGGCCCCATGTTCTTTCCCTGGCATCTCAGGTAGCAGATGTTAGAAAAACACCTTTGTCAACCCGGAATACTGCTGCTGCTAGTTTGAACAGACAGGACTAGGCGAGATGGGCCGATAGACTGTCTCACTGCTAGACAGCTTCATATTCTCCTTAAAAACCAGACATTGAAAGCATTATCATTGTCAAGTTTATTGTATGTGGCCATTGGCCATTACAGGTTAAAACATACCAAGATTTTAAAATACAATGTCTGTCTTTGAATTTTCACTTTCACGCTCAGAAATGCTAATTACCTTGATTTTTTTTAAACATACAAACATCCATCTCCAAAGATTCATAGGCAGGTTCAAGAAATACAAGTGTCAGGACGTTACATTTGGCTGCTGTCATGAGAACCACCTTTGCCCTGACTTTCCTAGCTGCTAATGCAAAAAAGTGCCACCTTGTTAGAAACAAAGGAATCCACATCTGACAGCAAAAATATCAATTTATGTCAGAAGAACTGTACAGTTGATCTGTTCTCCTAGTCAAGAATTTACTTCTGAGTTCCGAGTACGATGGGCAGACCATAACATAATGAAAGCAAGCCAACTAGATATTTTTATTTCAGCAGCCGTTCTAGGGCAAGGGGTCTCCAACCTTTTTGAGCCTGAAATTCTGACACAGGTTGGTGGGCAGAACCACAAAGTAGCCATCACGGGAGGCAGCGCTACACACGCATAGGCGTACAGTGGAAGCCCAAGTGCAGAGGACAAGAGGAGTAATTTTAAAAATACATTGGGAAAGAGGAGTGTGTGTGTGGGGGGGGAGAGTAGAAGACCGGCACGCTATTGGCAGCTGCCACCAGAATAACAGCCAATTGGCTCTCCAGTGGCCAAACAGCAGCCGTGCTGGGCGGGAGCTGCATCTGGGACCACCCACTTTCTAAAAATACTTGGTGGGTGCCAGGAAAGGTACTGGCGGGTGCCATGGTGCCCCCGGGCACCATATTGGAAACCCCTGTTTTAGGGTATCCTTAAAACTGGAGAAAGCCTTTCTCATTCTCCTGTGGGAATTATACGGCTTTTTTCTGGGAGGTTTCACAGTCTGTTTCTCGTTACGCAGGTTGCCACCCATCATGCCACGAGTGCGTTGGCCCAGAACATTCACACTGCACGGGCTGCACAAAGCCGGAGGAAAGCCTGCAGCCAGAAGAGAACCTCGACGGGACGCCCGTTGGTGTCTGTCTGCCCCAGTGCAAAGCTCACTTCTACCTCAGTAGCGATGGGGTATGCAGAGGTAAAGCAAGGGATTGCTCGTGGTGATAAATTCATACCCAGGTCTTGATAAGCTTGTCTTCAATGGCCTTGGAAACCCAAATTCTGCAAGCTTCAACAAAAAAATCAAGCAGAAGTGCTCTTAATCTATTCCAGTGCTAGCAGTTATTTGGTTGGCTGGAGATGTACACAAGAAGATGTTTCCATGCCTGCAAAATTGACACTGCATGTTTAGATTCAAGTGGGTAGCCATGTTGATCAGAAGCTATAGAGCAGTGATGGCGAGCCTTTTAGAGACCGAGTGCCCGAACTGCGACTCAAAACCCACTTATTTATCGCAAAGTGCCAACACGGCGATTTAACCTGGATACTGAGGTTTTACGTTAGAAAAAACAACCCATACGTTAACTTAAGATGATCCAAACAAAGTAAGGAAAGCAATCCCAAATTCTTTCATTTACTTAAAATTATTTGGCAAAGAATTCGACACTTTAATGATGGTCTGGGCCTGGCTGGGGCGATGGCACGTGTGCCCACAGAGAGGGCTCTGAGTGCCACCTCTGGCACCCGTGCCATAGGTTTGCCACCACTGCCATAGAGCAAAGTTTGAGTCCAGTGACACCGTTAAGACCAGTAAAGTTTAATTTTAGGTAATAGTAAAAAGCCCAGTAGCACCTTTAAGACTAACAAACTTTATGGTAGCATAAACTTTCGAGAAACACAGCTCTCTTCGTCAGATGCGTCTGATGAAGAGAACTGTGTTTCTCGAAAGCTTATGCTACAATAAAGTTTGTTAGTCTTAAAAATGCTACTGGGCTTTTTACTCTTTTGCAGCACAAGACTAACATGACTAACTCCTCTGGATCTAATTCTGGTTATAAGCTCTCGTGTGCATGCATACTTCATCTGATGAAGTGTGCATGCCCATGAAAGCTTATACCCAGAATTAAACTTTGTTGGTCTTAAAGGTGCCACTGGACTCAAACTTTGTTCTACTACACATTTAGAACGTTTCACTGCAAAACCTGGGAGCGAGTGTGTTGTCGTGCTTAGGGGAACGAGGAATGGGGAGACCCAAGTTGAAATCCACAAGCTGCTGTGAAGTTCACTGGATGGTCTTGAACCAGTCACGCATTCTCAGGGCTAATTCCCATGTTACAAAGTCCTTGCGTATCCCCAAATGTTATTGGTCCCTGTTGATCATGTATGTGCTGGGTGTTCTGCACTCCAAACTTAATTCTCAGGTGCATTTGGAACTGATCTGGATCGGGACTGCGTGGGGACGAGAGGTCTTATGTCTTCCCTCTCCCATGCTGTTTTTTTCTGATTTGAAATGGCCCACTGTTTGCATTGTCGAGGCTATACACAGGGGTCGTTTCGTAGAAAAAGAGCTAGGGGAACTCATTAGCATAACTCATTAGCATATGCCACACCCCCTGACATCACCGGAAGTGTGTCATTAGGCCACACCCACCACTCAGTTAGTCTTAGTCTTAAAGGTTAGTCTTAAAGGTGCTATTTGAACTCTTGGACTATTTTGCAGCAACAGACTAACACAGCTACCTCGTGGAAGCTCCTGGATGGGGCTGGGAGTCCTTGCGGAGGCCACGTGGAGTGGCCTCGGCCAGGCAGAGGGGGAGGACGCCAACGTACCATCCTGCTTCTTCCTCCTTCTGCAACAGAATGAGGCTGGAAGCAGGGGGCAGCTGGAAGAAGGGGGCGGGGCTTCGTTGTGTGCCCCGCCCCCTGCACCTCACCTGGGGGAACTGCGATCCCCCGCGATCCCCCCCGAATTGACCTCTGGCTATACATGTGTTTTCCCAACAGGGCAAATAAGAGTTCCCTGGGGCCTAGGGTTGCCACCTCTCTCTTGGGAAATTCCTGGAGATTCAGGGATAGTGCCTGGCAAGGGACTTAAACCCTCTAACACTCTATGGAACACCATAGAGTCCACCCCACGAAGCTGCCGTGTTCTCCAAGTGAACTGATCTCTGCAGTCTGGAGATCAGCTGTAATTCCAGGAGACCCCATACCGGGGTCATTATATTGGGAGGGAAATGGCCTCACTGGGAATGGCCTCTCCCCATGCACCGTGGTCATAGCAGGAACAAAGACTTTGTAATGTGTGAATAGGCCCTTTGGCTAACCTACCTCCCGGATGTGTAGCAAGGATAAAATGAAAGGGAGGGAATCCATCTATACTTCCCTAAGCTCCATAGGGGAAGGAGACTGGTTTAGAGCCAGTTTGGGGTAGTGGTTAGGAGCGCGGACTCTAATCTGGGAGAACCGGGTTTGATTCCCCACTCCTCCACATGCAGCTGCTGGCGTGACCTTGGGTCAGTCACAAGATCTCTCAGAGCTGTTCTCTCAAGAGCAGCCCTCGAAAGAGCTCTCTCAGCCCCACCTACCTCACAGGGAGTCTTTTGTGAGGAGGGGAAGGGAAAGGAGTTTGTAAGCCGTTCTGAGACACCGAATGAAGGGCGGGGTATAAATCCAATCTCTTCTCTTTCTTCTCTTCTTTAAAAAAGAAACTTTTACAGGTTGGGCTTCTCAAGCGTTCCCGAATTAGTTTATAGCCCAGCATAAGGACATCGTTTGGCATTCAGAGTGCTGCTCAGCCTGCTTTTCCTTCTTGTTGTTCCTTGGCAAAATGCTGACCGGCTTGCTGTTGCTTCTTGTTGTTCCTCATCTAGGTGCTTAATTAGCTTGCTTAATTAGCACACCTGCTTAATTAGCATGCTAACGCAACAGCTGCCTGAGCTATGGATCTCAGGCGTGCTAACTAAGCCCATCTTTCCCCGTGTAAATGAGAGGCTGTACAAGTGCAGAGTTCCACGGGTGAGTTCTTTGGCACCGCCAGCAACACGTATATATACATATTCAAATCTGTCCCTCAGCATCCCAGAGGAAGTGTGACGCGGCCTCCAAAGCGAAGTAATCCTTGCTGTCAGCCTTCTTCTACATCAGCTTTCAAAAGCTGATTTGAATAGCGGTTGCATTTGGCAGCCAGTCACCAGTGTTCCCTCTAAGCTGAGTTAGTGTGCGCTAGCTCACAGTTTTTGAGCCTCCGGCTCGCAGGCCTTTTGTCTCCGCTCAGGAAGGAGGGCTCCAGAGCAAACTGATTTATGCAGCAGCCCAATCGCTCGCTCACAACTCTAATGCCAGTAGCTCACAAAGTAGAATTTTTGCTCACAAGAACTCCACAGCTTAGAGGGAGCATTGCTGGTAGCCCTTTCTCTCATTAGGGTTGCTAGGCCGGCCCACCTCCACCCCTGGTGGGGGATGGTAGGGTAGGGTTGCCAGCTCCTGGTTGGGAAACTCCTGGAGATTTGGGGATGGAGCCTGGGGAGGACAGGGACCTCAGTGGGGGACGATGCCTTAGAGTCCACCCCCCAAAGCAGCCGTTTTCTCCAGGGGCAACTCTGTAGTCTGGAGATGAGCTGTAATTCTGGTCCCACCTGGAGGCTGGCATCCCTCTCTCTCACTGGATTTAACCAGTTTTGAATCCCTGGGGTGATTTAAGAAAGAGTTGGCTCAGATAGTTGCAAGATGGGGGCGGGGCGGGAGACGCTTTTTAGGTCCAGATAGGCATGTACTTGAGCTAAAGTTTAGTCCAACATGGCTTGAGTCTTTGGTTCCAATTGGCCCTTTATTCTGAGAGAAAGTGTGGCCAACTCCTTTTTCAAACAGCTTGAACAAAGGCCTATAAATTGTGGACCTTGTTTGGCTCTAAGATGTGTGGAGGAAGCGTGCAATGTATTCATTTAGCTGTTTTCTACCTTTGACCCGTAAATGCCAAACCCTGATTTTATTTTACCAGTAACCCGTGTTAAAATTTTGGATTATCATTCAGTGCCTGGGCTTGTTCGGCCTACCCATGTCCCACTTTGGCTAATGCTATTACGATAAATTACAGACAGTACAGACAGTATCTGATGAAGACATCTTTAACCCTTGAAAGCTTATACCCCAAAAATCTTGTTGGTGTTTGGTGCTATCGTGCTGTAATCTAGCTCTTCTCAGACAGTACTGTAGTTCTTTTGTGTCTAGCATGGTGGTGGTGGAAAGTGTTGTTGAGTTGTAGAAGTAGAAGAAGAAGAAGAGAAGAGATTGGATTTATACCCCGCCCTTCACTCGGAATCTCAGAGCGGCTTACAAACTCCTCTCCCTTCCCCTCCCCACACCAGACACCCTGTGAGGTAGGTGGGGCTGAGAGAGCTCTGACAGAAACTGCTCTTTTTCAAGGACAGCTCTTATCAGAACTACGGCTTGCCCAAGGTCATCCAGCAGCTGCAAGTGGAGGAGTGGAAAATCAAACCCGGTTCTCCCAGATTAGAGTCCGCGCACTTAACCACGACACCAAACTGTAGCTGACTTGCAGCAACCCGTTCATGGGGTTTTCAAGGCAAGAGATGTTCCAAGGTGGTGTACCATTACCTGCCTCTGCATAGCAACCCTGGTATTCCGTGATGGGCTCCCATCCAAGTACCAACCAGGGCTGACTCTTTTGAGCTTCTGAAATCTGACAATTTCGGGCTATATCTACTATAGCAGAAGTGTAGTAAGGGGTTCTGGTTGCCTCGAGAACCAGGTGGCAGCAGTTAATATGTTTTTCATACATTTGCTAGGTCAGGAGGACGTTTAGGGTGCATAGCAGGAGTTAGGGCTAGGGCACAAAACAAAACCCAGTCTACACATGCCCAGGAGCCTGTTGCCTAAGCTGGGCCATATTAAATTAGTGAGTAGCTGCAGGTTTCGAACTTGCTTATTGCTTCCTGGTGTTCCGGCATGGGGGCACTGGTGCGGTCAGCCAGTCTTTGAGATCATTATACATGGTTTATAGCTGCTCAGAACGGTGGAGTCTGGGAGAGAAATGATAGCTTTGCAAGTCATGGAAGGAGGAAAGGGGGGGAAAAGCCCTCTGAAAAAGCGCTCAACAGTTCAATAAACCTTTAAGGAGACCGGACATCTGTTAGATGGTTACATCTGCAGTCCAACTTCAAAGAAGAGATTCTGCTGACCAGACTTGCTTTTGTTTTTCATCTTGCCTAATAAATTGCCTGGAAATGATCGGCTAGTAAAAGTGTATTCGTTTCTGTTGACGTTTATTGGGAGAGAGGCCCTTTCCAAAGGTAGTTCGGCTTTTGTTGCGCTCAAGGGTCTTCTATTAACAATCAGCTGTATGTCTTTCCAAAGCACCAGTTCAGCATTTGTGTCCCAGACGTGGCTCCCCAGCAAACGGATTTGCTTATGGCATAGATTTTTGAGGGGGAAGCACACATAAGACAAAAATGGTTCCGGTGCCATTTGTTAGAATTTAGAAGAGCTGATTGGAACCGGGGCCCTGACTTGGACAGTCCAGGGTAACCCAGTCTTGTCAGATCTCAGAAGCAAAGCAGGATTGGCCCTGGTTAGTCCTCGGATGGGCGACTGCCGTGGAAGTCCTGGGTTGCTATGCAGAGGCAGGCCGTGGCCAACCACCTCTGCTCGTCTCTTGCCTTGGAAACCCTACGGGGTCAGCTACAACTTGATGCCTCTTTCCACCTCCACTACCAAAAGATGATTCTTCTCTTCCACTGAGATAGATGATGGGTAGCCGTGTTAGTCTGTCTGTAGCAGCAGAGAAGAGTAAGAATCCAGGAACACCTTAAGGGCTAGCAAGAATTGTGGCAGGGGATGAGTTTTCTCGAGTCACTGCTCACTTCTTCAGGTATCTGTTAGCTGCCTTGAGCCAGTCCTGTGGCTAGGTGGGATACAAATCGAAATTATAAATAAATAAATAATTCAAGACCGTTCCAAATGAGTGGTGATGAGTGATAGAGATATCCAGCAGACGGTGCCTTGGCTTGGTAAATCCTGGGGGGGGGGAGTTTGAGCTGTGTAAAGAACGTTACTGCCCAAGGAGTCCTTTCACACTCGGTTCCTTTGATCACCTATAACTTGTAAGGAGGAAAAAATGAGGAAGGGAAAACCCCGTGCAGCACTCTGAGTTCCCTGGAGGAAGGGTGTGATACAAATGTGTTGGATCGATAGGCAATTATTGGAAGGGGGGCCCTGGAGATCTTTTGAACTGCAGAACAGCCCCAGGTATAGCCTGGAGTCCCCCTGCCACACTCACACCACAAAGGAAACGTGGGAAGGTGCCCTAAGAAAAGTGAAGCTGGGGTAAGTTCGGGCAGCCTCACTAACGTCGCTTTCTCTTGTCCCGTGTCTTCCCTGCAGAATGCCACCCCTCCTGTTCCTCCTGCGTCGAGAAATCTGCTGAGAACTGCACAGCGTGTGCACATTCCCGAGTCCTTCACAGAGGCCAGTGCCTGTCGGCGTGCCCGGTGGGGTGGCATGATCGGGAGGCGCACTGCTATCGTGAGTCCTTGAGTGTCTCGTCGCAAGCCAACCACGGTTTATGGGGCATTCAGGTGTTGTTTTTTTAAATAAAAAAATCCACCAGCCCTACCATCCAAAGAAACAAGCCAAGCACGGTTTATGGGGCATTCAGGTGTTGTTTTTTTAAATAAAAAAATCCACCAGCCCTACCATCCAAAGAAACAAGCCAAGCACGGTTTATGGGGCATTCAGGTGTTGTTTTTTTAAATAAAAAAATCCACCAGCACTACCATCCAAAGAAACAAGCCAAGCACGGTTTATGGGGCATTCAGGTGTTGTTGTTTTTTAAAGAAAAAAATCCACCAGCCCTACCATCCAAAGAAACAAGATTTTTTGGGGGGGAGGGGGTGAGCTTTGAGAGTCGAAGCACCCTTTGTCAGGTCTGATTCTCGTGCCTCAAATGTCTTATTGGTCTCACCCCGACCTGGATAGCCCAGGCAAGCCCGATCTCATCAGATCTCGGAAGCTAAGCGGGGCCGACCCTGGCAAGTAAGTGGAAGGGAGACCTCCAAGGAATGCCAGGGCTGGGATGCAGAGGCAGGTTATCAAGCCACCAGTAGGGGTTGCCAGAACTCACCATGACTTCCAGGCACGCAAGCACACACACACACATGCACACCACCAAAAGAAATATTTTGTTTGTCTCTCAGGTGCTTTGGGACTCAAACCTAGCTGTTCTAGACCAACACGCCTGCCCTCCAAAACCATCCCAACAAACCCTGCTTGGGTGTTTCTCTTAGCCCTGTATTCTTCATGACCCTGACCTGGATGCCCCAGGCTTGCCTGATCTCAGAGGTTAAGCAGGGTCGGCCCTGGTTAGCACTCGGATGGGAGACCACCAAGGAAGTCCTGGGTTGCTACACGGAGGCAGGCAACGGCAGAAGCACCCCCTGAATGCCTCTTGCCTTAAAAGCGTCACAGAGTCACTATAAGTTGGCTGCGACTCGATACGACGCATGTCACGATTTGATCTTCCGCTGCCGCGTAACATAAGCGAGGTGGATGAAGCTTTTTTGCAGAACGGAAACCCTTCTTCGTCGGGGTTTCGTTTTCGTTTCCCCGAGGGGAGGAGGGATTGTGCTCCCTCTGAGATGGGGGGGGGGTGTGTGTGTGATGCCTAGCCTCTAGAGAATTAACAAATGTGGAGAGGGAGAGAAAGAAATACGGTTTGCACAATTGTGACATATTGCTGTGGGCCTAGGGGACATTCTTGCTGGTAATGAGCACCTTTTTTGTTGTTTTTAAAGGGCTTCATTAGCTGTTCTGCACTCGAACGGTCAACTGGGGAGTGCTTATGGCTGTTAGAAAGTGTATCTATACGTTTTATTGGGCTTTGCGGTGGAGAAGCCTTGGCAAAGGATGACATAGGAGTCAGGGGGAGCAAGAGAGAGATGGAAACGGGGCAGAAGTGTGGGTGTGATGGTGGGGAAGGACTGAAGCACCTGTTCTTAGGTTGGTGGTGGCGGCTATTGCCTATCCATCAGGGGTCGTTTCGTAGAAAAAGAGCTAGGGGAACTCAGTAGCATAACTCATTAGCATATGCCACACCCCCTGACATCACCGGAAGTGTGTCATAAGGCCACACACCCCGCCCCCAACGGTCCCGGCCTTGCAGCTCCACTGCTGAGCCCCATGAGGGGCCTGGCGGTGGACCTGCAAGGCCGGCGGGAGTGCAAGGAAGCCCCGTGAAGGCCCTCCCTGGCCCCAGGCAGGCAGGGGTGGGGAGAGGCAGGGAGGAAGCAACTTACCCTCCCTCTTCTCCTGCCTCCTCCTGGCTGAATGAGGGCCGGAAGCGGGGCGGCTGGAAGCAGGGGGCGGGGCTTCGTCATGTGCCCCGCCCCCGTACCTCACCCGAGGAAGCTGCGTTCCCCCGCGATCCCCCCCGGTATAAATCGAATCTTCCATCCTCTGCATTCCCATCCCAAAACCTATGCACTCTTTTGCAAAGTCGTCTGCTAGCATGGGTGAGAACATGCACCAACAAGACACCCATGTGATCAGCCATGATGTCTCCCTCCTTGACCCAGGAACCAGCCGGGTACATTCACCAAGAGCATATGCAATCCAAGAGCACAGTGTGCCAAAACCAAAGAAGTGGGATATATTGCAGTAAGGTGCCTATGTAGCGATTCCAGGTTTTTTTTGGTCCATTAAAGTCACATTATTGCGTTGACCATGTGGAACTGCTGTACGTCAGATTTCTCCCCCCCTCCCCAGTCTAGCCCAGTATTACCAGCTCTGGCGAGCAGTTGCTGGACACATGAAGCTGCCTTCTCCTGCGTTAAGATCAGGGGTCGTTTCGTAGAAAAAAGAGCTAGGGGAACTCATTAGCATAACTCATTAGCATATGCCACACCCCCTGCCACCACCGGAAGTGTGTCATAAGGCCACACCCCCTGACATCACCGGACGTGTGTCATAAGGCCACACACCCCGCTCCCAACGGTCCTGGCCGCCGGTACCGGCCTTGCAGCTCCACTGAGGGGCCCGGCAGTGGACCTGCAAGGCCGGCGGGAGTGCGAGGAAGCCCCGCCAAGGCCCTCCCTGGCCCCAGGTAGGCAGGGGTGGGGAGAGGCAGGGAGGAAGCAACTTACCCTCCCTCTTCTCCTGCCTCCTCCTGGCTGAATGAGGGCCGGAAGCGGGGCGGCCGGAAGCAGGGGGCGGGGCTTCGTCATGTGCCCCGCCCCCGTACCTCACCCGGGGGAACTGCGATCCCCCGCGATCCCCCCCCCGAAATGACCTCTGGTTAAGATCCCTGAGGGCATGTTTGGTGTAGTGGTTAGGAGCACGGACTCTAATCTGGGAGAACCGGGTTTGATTCCCCGCTCCCCCACTTGCAGCTGCTGGTGTGACCTTGGGACTCCTTTGAGTAGTGAAGGGCGGGGTATAAATCGAATCTTCTCTTCCTCTTCTTCTTTTTCCTCATCTTCCTCCTCCTCCCCAATTTGAATCCAGTAGCACCTTAGAGATGAACAAGATTTTGGGGGCATAAACTTTTGAGCATGAAAGTTCCCTTAGTCTGATACAGTGACAAAGGTATCTGGCAAAGGGAGCTTTGCCTCTCTAAAATTATATCCTGAAAATCTTAATGGTCTCTAAAGTGGTACTGGACTCTGATCTAGCTGTTCTGCTGAAGGACAACACAGCTACCCTCCAGTGTTCCCTCTAAGCTGAGTTAGTGTGAGCTAGCTCACGGTTTTTTAAGCCTCCGACTCACACCTTTTTGTTTCCGCTCAGGAAGGAGGGCTCCAGAGCAAACTGATTCATGCAGCAGCCAAATTGCTCGCTCACAACTTTAAGGCCAGTAGCTCACAAAGTAGAATTTCTGCTCACAAGAGCACCCTCTAAAACTAACTTGATCTAACGAGGTCAGCATTGTCTGCTCTGATTGGCCGCTGCTCTCCAGATCCTTTACATTGCCCACTACCTGACCCGTTTTTAACTGCAGAGGCTGGAGATTGAACTTGGGACCTTCTGCATGCAAAGCGGATGCTCTACCACTGAGCCATGCTCCTATCCCTGTGGTTTCCCCAGCAGTGCCACCTACCATCCTTTCATTAGACCAGAGGTCTTCAGCCTTTTTGAGCCTGTGGGCACATGTGGAATTCTGACAAGAAGATGATGAAGATGAAGATGATGAAGATGATGATAAAGAAGATGATGAAGATGAAGAAGACAATGATGAAGAAGATGATGATGAAAAAGAAGATGACGAATAAGAAGATGATGATGAAGAAGAAGATGATGATGAAGAAGAAGATGATGATGAAGAAGAAGATGATGATGAAGAAGAAGATGATGATGAAGAAGAAGATGAAGAAGATGATGAAGAAGATGATGATGAAGAAGAAGATGAAGAAGATGATGAAGAAGATGATGATGAAGAAGAAGAAGAAGAGGGAGATTGAATTTATACCCCGCCCTTCACTTGGAGTATCAGAGCGGCTTACACACTCCTTTCCCTTCCCCTCCCCACATATGGGGCAGCTCTTGAGAGAAAAGCTCTGAGAGAACTTGTGACTGACCCAAGGTCCCATGAGAGCTGCAAGTGGAGCAGTGGGGAATCAAACCAGGTTCTCCCAGATTAGAGTCTGCGCACTTAACTGGCTATGTTGGGCAGTGTTCCCTCTAAGCTGTGGAGTCTTGTTAGCAAAAATTCTACTTTGTGAGCTACTGACATTAAAGTTGTGAGCAAGCGATTTGGCTACTGCATAAATTAGTTTGCTCTGGAGCCATCCTTCCTGAGCTAAGACAAAAATCTGTGAGCTGGGGGCTAAAAAAGTGTGAGCTAGCTCACACTAACTCAGCTTAGAGGGAACACTGATGTTGGGTGCAGCAACAAAACGGCTGTTGCAGGAGATGGAGCCAGCTACACAGTTCCTGCCACAGCTTAGCCTCAATAACACAGAATAATAGATCCTTATCTTGTAGTGGCAGCTGCTGCCAAAGCAACCTTTTAAAAAAAATCTGCACACCGAATCAAATCTCCACTAGTCAGTCAGACTCCAGTAGTAAAACTTGGCCCCACCCACTTCCTAAAAACATTCATCGGGCACCAGAAAAAGTATTGCAGATGCCATGGTGCCCGTGGGCATCATGTTGAGGACTGCTGCACTTGACATTCCAGGCACTGAACCTGGGACGTTCTGGGACTGCTTGTCAGTTCTTGGAAGCCGCCCTGAGCCTGCCTAGCGGGGAGGGCGGGGTAAAAGTGAAACAAATAAATAAATTCATTTCAGAAGCCCTCTGCCACTAAAAATGGCCCCAAACTCAACTTACATATGCTTATATATAGAAAACATTCCAAAGTATATTGAATGAAATGGCCCGCTGCTCTGTGTGTTTATAATCTTTCCTGCTTTATTCTTTTTCTATTCTTTTTTGTAAATCAAACGGCTCGGTTTTGTACGTGTGTGAGAGAGAGAGAGAGAGAGAGAGAGAGAGAGAGCGAGCGAGGTGGTGGAGGCAATCCACAATTCTTCCTTGCTCTACAGCATGTGTTTGTTAGGAACGTCAAGACCGTGATGAATGTGGCCCTTAATCTTCAGTAAAGATTCCATTTAATTTGCAGGCTGATTTTTGTGAGTCCAGATCAGGAGGAATGCCTGGCTCATAGCTATACAGATAACGAAGAATTGCCCTTTTTATTTTATTAATGGGAAACGCTTGTGAAAAGTATACAGCCGATTTTTTCCCCTTTTTTGGGGGGGAGAAGCCCGAGGATAGTCTATTTGCCATGAGTTTGACAGACGAGTTAAACCTTCGTCTTTTTTTGTAACCGTGTGTTGGGTTATTGTTTCTCATTTGGCGCCTGCTACAGACTTAAGTTTATGGAGGAGGAAATGTTGCAAAGATACGGGGAAAGCATCTATTTTAGTTGCCTATCTCGCCACACCGGTGCTGGCTATTACGGCAGTAGGAGATCAGAGCCCATATGTGCATGACTGATTGTTTCATTTTCAATCTATGGAATGAGCTTTAGGTACTTAGGTTAGCAAAGCAGCCTGTCAACGACAGGTCCAGTGGGGCAAGGCAGATAGGGAGAGTTTACAGTCCAGTCCAAGAGTCAAGCCAAAGAGATCAAAAGAGTCCGAGCAAAAGTCCCAATCACACAACGCCAAGCCGTAGTCGATAGTCAGAGTCCAAACAAGCCAGTATCGTAGTCAGGAAGCGTAGCCGAGGATCAAGAGCCAGAGGGGTCGTCAAAACGCGGACTGGATTCAGGAACCGGGAAGTCAGTCAGTACAGGATCTCAGGAACAGCGTCTGAGGTGCAGAGCTTCTGGTCCGAAGGACTAGTTTGCCAGCACAGTTTGCTAGCAGCCAGCGGTCTGTTCAAATAGCGTGCTGGGTCGTTATCTCATTAGTCCTTGATTCTGTTAGTAATCTGAGCTTAATGATCGCCGACCGTGCAAGTGTGCCTCCTTGCGCCTGGTTGCCAAATCCCGGCGTCTCTGATTCCTCAGCCAGTCAACAGGTGGCAGAGAATCGGGTGGCGTTTTGCTGGGGCCAGGCATTGCCCGATCGGCTTCAGGTGCAAACTGACCTGGGGTTTGTCGTTCATCCTCCCCGGCACTTAGGTTTGGTGAGGACTCTCGTGCTTCTGATGATGTTAAAGGCACAGAGTCCTCAGTTTCAGAGCTCCCAGGCACCGGGTCGGGTACAGGCATCACACAGCCCTTATAGGGCTGGGGGAGAGCTCTGTAACTTTTTTAGCACGAGGGTTAATCCGGCCCTGGTGCTAGAGCTGCAGCTATTGCTCAAGAGGACAGTGCACCTTTTTGTATGCGGCCGTTGAACGCGTCGTAAATTCGGTGTAATGGACGCGTTCGCTTCTTCCACTTCTGCTGCCAAACTCCCTCAATGGTTAAGCAGCTCCGAGCGAACATCTGCTGGGTTTTGTCCTTTGCAAAGTAAATGTTTTGCCTTTTGTCAAAGATGTTGATTGTCTCTCTGTCTCCCTGTGCCCCTCCAGCATGTCATCCCTCTTGCGAAACATGCCGGGGCCCTACAGATGCTGACTGTGCAACCTGTCAACCCCACGCCACGTTTGCAGATGGAAGATGTAGGACTACCTGCAAGGAACAGCAGTACCTCAACCTGGTGGGATATTGTGTCGGTAAGTCCACCAGGAATATGCTCCAGCAGGTGTCCCCAGCCTTTTTTTAGTCTTGGGGAAAACTTTGGGATTCTGACACAGTGTAGTGGGTGCGGCAACAAAATGGCTGCCGCAAGAGGTGGACCATGCCATAAAATGGCTGCTGCAGCTTCTCTTCAGTCACTCAGTGAAGATCCTTCTGCTGTAATGGTGGATGCTGCCAGTGTAGCATTTAAAAAAGTCTGCAGTCAATCAAACCTCCACTGGCCGTTCAGAAGCTTTCGTCCACTTTCTAAAACCACTTGGCGGGCACCAGGGGAGGTGGCTGTGGGCATCATGGCATCCAAGGGCACCGCGTTGGGTACCCCTGCTCTACGGTCTTCAATACAAGTTGTGGTTCCTCTGTCACATTTCTATCCTGTCCAGGGTTCCCTCTAAGCTGTGCAGTCTTGTGAGCGACAATTCTACTTTGTGAGCGACTGTCATTAAAGTTGTGAGCAGGGGTCGTTTCGTAGAAAAAAGAGCTAGGGGAACTCATTAGCATAACTCATTAGCATATGCCACACCCCCTGACATCACCGGAAGTGTGTCATAAGGCCACACCCCCTGACATCACTGGACGTGTGTCATAAGGCCACACACCCCGCCCCCAACGGTCCCGGCTGCCGCCGCCACTGGCCTTGCAGCTCCACTGCCAAGCCCCATGAGGGGCCCGGCAGTAGACCTGCAAGGCCAGCAGGAGTGCAAGAAAGCCCCACGAAGGCCCTCCCTGGCCCCAGGCAGGCAGGCAGGGGTGGGGAGAGGCAGGGAGGAAGCAACTTACCCTCCCTCTTCTCCTGCCTCCTCCTGGCTGAATGAGGGCCGGAAGCAGGGCAGCCTTCCTGAGCTAGGACAAAAAATGTGTGAGCCGGAGGTTAAAAAACCTGCGAGCTAGCTCACGCTGACTCAGCTCGGAGGGAACACTGATTCCTGCCCTTCCCCTGGGGTGCTCATTTATTTATATATGTATATATATATATTTTAATGGATTAACTTGTATACTGCCCTTCAGCCTACTAGCCAGCCATAACGACTCCCAAGCTAGTTTCACATGAAAGCAAATTGAAAACAGCGAAGATACGAAGAGGTCTCTTGGGATATGGGATAGTCCGTCTTTTCCCTCCACCCCCGTCCGCCACGTGCTCTGGCTGTTGTGCTGTTATTTTTCTCGCTCGTGTGGCCTCCGTTTGATGTAGGGTTGCTGGCTCTGGATTGGGGAATTGTTAGAGATTTTGGCGGTGGAGCCTGGGGAAAGAAGGGTTTGGGAAGGGGAGGATATCATGCCCTAGAGTCCATCCACCCTTTGAAGCAGCCATTTTCTCCTCTCTCTCCTGGAAATCAGTTAAAATTCCTGGAGATGTTCAAGCCCCACCTGGAGGCTGGCAACTCGAAAGCGATGATGGCCATTTTCAACAGTGGCCCCAGTCCCCCCAAAATGGCCTTCTGTATAGAAGTTTTGCTTTTTGCTTCTATATTCACATGCCTTCTCCTATGATGTCTTTTGATAACATGCTGTGTCTTAGTTTCCTGTTGCAAGCCAAATGGTGAGGCCAAATGGCCTCAGTAGCCGTGCCATATAACCACACATTCTTTCACACCTCTAAGTGGAAGAGCCAGACCTGATGGCTCCTGGCTCTGGCCCGCATGCAGAAAGTCACGTAGGCAGTGGAGAAGCTGGAGTTTGGGGTCATGTGACTGCAGGCGTGGTCTCCAAACTTTTAGCCTATCCCCACACGCAGCTATGACAACCAACAATTGGGCACATCCCATGCCCACTCGCAGTTGGCTGATGGCCACGGCTGATTGTGACTGGAATTGGGCTATAATTGATCGATCCCGATGGGAATGAGCTCTGTTGCTCTTAGCTCTGCTCTTAGCTCTCCCTTCTTGTCATTGTCTGTTTATTGCACCTGTAAATGCTGTCTCTTGGAAGACAAAGAGCTGCTTTGTGAACTGGAGCACATGGGTGCAAGGATGGGATTTCTCTTCAAAATCCCTTGGTACTTGGACAATCCTGGACTGTGGGTGTTCTGACTTGGTAACTATGAATCATTAATGTTTAGTTAAGGCAAAGAGCCATAGGGTTTTCTTGTTTTCAGTGATATCTTATATAGTCTGTTTTGCTATGCTCTGTACAGAATAAAAATTATTCTTATTTCTAATGGGTCTCTGATGTTGTAACTTGCATTCCAAGCCTAACTCTTGCGCCTTCTGCTCACCATATAAGCTACCCTTTGTAAGATCAAGTGTGCCTCTCTGGAGTGAGTTGCTAATGGGTTCTGTCCCAGGTGCCACCTAAGTGTTTGGAATCTCTCCCTTAGGAAAAGCAGGGACTAGTGAAAAGAGGTTCTGGTGGCAAATTGTCTGGAAACCAGAGAGGGTATAGACCATCTCGTGGTTTGTTGTTTAATGTACTGAAAAGTACAGGGTTCCCTCCCATTCCTGGACTGGCTTGGGTGGGCTAATCCCTGTACACCTTCCTGAGGAAGTGAGGAAGGTTCTGACTCTAGCAGTGTTCAGGAGTTGCTGTAAAAAAGTGCACTTTAGGAAGGTGTTCTCAGGAGTCTCGCCTTTCCGAATTAGCTATCTCTGGCTGATTTATCTATTATAGGTTTAGAATAGATGCGATTGGCAGGCCGTGGCCAGATTTGTTGGTTTTATGTCTCGTGGCTGTCTTGAGTTCCCGTATGAGGAGAAGAAAGGCAGGATACAAATATTTTAATAAAATGAAGAAGAAACAGTCCCATTCCATCCCCACACGTGCTGCATAGCAAATTCCTGCACGGATAGTTGACTGGTCTCATTTTTCTCTCAGCTACCCTCTGCCGTGGGTTTGGCTCACAGTCAGAGACTTGTCCAGTGTTATGGAACAAGCACAATGTGTCATGTTCGGGAGAAAACAGACAAGACAAAAACCACACATCAGTTTGCCTCAGAGCTGTGTGAGAAAGCCAGAGGAGGCCTAACCCTTCATCCACTCCTTGGTTTGGATGGCAGGTATCTTTTCAGGAGGCATGGGGGGGGGTAGATTTAGGGATTGCTATTCTATTTTTGGTTTTAACTGGAAAATGCTTTTAACTATTATTGTCAGCTGCCCTGAACTACGAATAAAGGCAGGATGTAAATGTTTAATAAATAAATAAGATAAGATAAAATCTGACTCTCCTGCTCCACTACTAGTGTTGTAAAGGGGGAAAAAAGAATATGTTCTGTGAAACATTGCATTTAAGAGGAAGAAGTTAATAATGAAGCAGAGGCCCACTTGTGATTAATGGCTGAAGGTCTTTGTTGCATCTGTATGAACTGTTCCTAGTGATACCATTCCCCAGGTGGGGGTGGGGGATCCCCCACTTTTGTGGGCTCCTGCCCGCCTGGCCAGCAAAAGGAAATTCCCCCCACCTCCGATGCTGTGCATGACACACTGACGTCACCTGGAAGTGACTTCAGCATGTTGGGGGGTGCCATGCTGTGCTTTTTGGACAACACTCTGTGCTTTGAGGCTGTTTTTACTATAGAGTTTTCCCAAAAAGCAGAGTGTCGCCCCCGATGTTGCTGATGCGCTGACATTACTTGTGGGTGATGTCAGTGCATCACATGACATCCCTGCCCACCCCTGCAATGCTCCGCAAATCCCCCCGCCGGCATGACGAAGGGACCTGTTAACCCTAGCTGTTCCTTCTCCATTCTGTCTTCACAACCCTACAAGTCAGGACAGACTGCATGTATGTGATTGGCTTGAGGTCGCCCTGTGAGTCTTGTAGTAGAGGGTCCGACTGTGAATCACATTTTCCTTGTGTCCTTGCTTGGTCCGCTATGGGGAATTTCAGTCAGACGTGCTCCGTGAGTTCCATGCGTGGAAATCAGTTTGCAAGTCCACAGGGCCCAATTCAGATTGGGACTGTGGGTGGAGGGAGGATAAGCCTTCCACCCTGATCTGAAGTGGACCTGGGGAGTCGGTATTTTCACCACTGTGAGAAATTTACTTGTAGCCACCCGTCGATATAAATTGCCCCCATGTAGCAAACAGCACGTCGCTGGGGCCTTTTCAGATCTGGAAAGTGGCAGGGGGAAAGCGTGAGGCCCTTTCTCCCAGCATCATGTTGTCCTGCTTTGAGTCAACATGCCTGGGAATTGAGTTCCAACCACGGTACTGGCAGCACCCATCTGGTCAAAAGTTCTCGGGGCAGATCTGGGGATTGGGCTTGCCAACCTCCAGGTGGGGCCTAGAGATCTTCTGGGATTACAGAGGATCTCCAGATGACAGAGATGGCTGCTTTGGACTTGATGGCCTTACGCCCATTGCGGTGCTTCCCCTCACCAAACCCTACTGTCCCCGGACTCCACTCCCAAATCTCCAGGAATATTCGGACTTTGAGCTGGCAGCCCTACCTGAGGACATGGTAATACAGAGCTTGGCACGGAGTGGGTCAAGTTTTGGTAACTGGTGTAAAGCTAGTATTCTGCGGGTAGTATTTATTAACTATATTTTGGCCCCGTTTCTCTTCCATGTATGTGTTTGGGAATTTTTTAAAAAATAAAATAAATGGTTTTTAGCAGGTCACACAGAGCTATGAGTCCCAGATAAATGAAATTTTAAAAATGTATGGCTGAGTCTATATTGTGGGCCACCTGTCAGAGAAATTGATTAGGTCTGAATTGAGTTGAGTTTTTTAATATATGAGAGGCCAGGACTGTCAGGAAGGGATCCTCAGAAAAGGTATATTGGCAGAGCTTTGAATGATGGATGGGCTATGTCAAGAGAGGGGGTGGGTGGTGAGAAAGTTAAGATTTATTCATATAGGTAGTGGACATGATTCACTGGGAAAGTGCACAAGACCCATTGAAATGAATGGAAGAGATCCTCAGAAATGGTATTGGAAGGACTTTGAATGAAGAACATAAGAGCCCTGCTGGATCAGACCAGTAGTTCATCTATTTTAAAAAACATACCTCATATAGTGGCCAACCAGTTCTTCTGGAGG